TTCCCTTTAAAGATATGGCGTATTTTGTAATGTTTGGAGGTACAATACATGAATACGTATTATTCTACTTATTTAAAAATCTGGAAGATTTAAGTGATTACTGTCAGGGTTATAATGAAAAGCTTATCCCCCCTTAATAAATTCTTTAGTTCTCGATTTTGATGCTGCTGCTTCAATCTCGATATATGTTCTGCGTCAGTTTTTTGACGTTTACAATTGTAAACATTAGGTGCATTTGAAGTTTTCCTTCCAATTCACCCTTTTGCGGCTTTTGCATAGTCAAGACTTTTGTGAGCCTTAAAGGCTGTTTTTTGTCAACTTTGTTAAGTTCTAATATATTTATTGGTAAGGTTTCTCGACGTCTCATGGCCCTAAAAAGGACCGGCAAGCTTCAAGTAAACTATTTTTTGACTGAAGTTTCCAGCTAACGTGACTGCCTTTATACCTCAGGGTGATCTTCTCTGGTCTTCTGTTGTAGCACCAGACTGATCAGGAGGAAAATTGCAACATCTGAAGCGTTGGAGATAGTTGTAGAGTTCGTTCCCAACGTCTCCGGGTATTATGCCAAAGACATCGGTGTCTCAAGCACCTCCTTCTTTGCAGGCTCAGTTGTTTTGGTAATCTAGTGTGAGAAGATACTGTCCCGTTTGGTATAGTTTATTTTTCCTTTATAGCTGTTAGGTTCACCCAGCGTTGACTTTGCAAAAGATAGTGATTCCGGGTTAAAAGCTTAGGTTCGAGAGAGTAATATAATGTAAGGTTGTCGGTCGACGGGTTTCCCAGCCTTGCGACGAACAACTCCGTTCGTGACGTCTGTCAGTAAGTCACTGACTCGGTTTAATAGTGGACGGCTTTATATAGTCTCTTAGTTGACGAATCGTTGCTGAAAATAGTAGTAAAAATGTATTTGTTGGCTAGGTAGTTTAACGTTAGGTGGCTCTAAAAAGAACCGATGAGATCAATGGTTAATAAGGGAACGTTAATACTTATAATGGCCCTGAAAAGGGCCTGTGGTGATACTTCTAGTCCTTCCTTATTATTATTTTTGATGATAGAGAGCCGACTGTGGGTTGCTTGACTCTTACTCTCAAAGTTCCTGCGTACAGAGACTGTGCTGAAGAGAGGTACGACACTGGCCAAAGAAAATCTTGTCTTTGGATCGTTTTTCGGATAACCAATCGTTCACCAGTGGTCAGGGAAGTAGGCCTGAAGAATGTTGCCTCTGTAGCTATGCCGTTGGAGCAAACTACTAGGGAGGATGCTGATAGAATTTTCAGGCTGCTCAAACTCTTTACGGTCGTTTTCCCTGGCTTGGTGTTGTAGCAAAACTTGCTCTGGTAGTACCAGGCCGGTAAGGAAAACAGCCACGAAACCCCCAATAGTTGGAGAAGATTGTGCTCTGGCTAGACTTCTCCTGGTATTACGCTGGAGATGTCGGCGTTCAGGGTGCCTTTCATTCGTGGCACTCGTTAATGTTGGTCGAAGTAAGTCGCTTGTCCAGTAGGAAGCAGTATCGCTGGTAGTCGGGATACTTAGCTGCACGGCTCCCAGCTCCATGCTTCATGCACCGTTGGTGAATGACTGTAGAATGCAATATTTTTTTGAGAATATTACAACCATACTTGCTTAATTCTATTTTAGGTAGCTTCAATTTTACTTCTTCGCAATCTAGCGGATGCTACTGATCTGAAGTGAAAAGCTAACGTATTTTTGCAAAACTTAAAGGTTATTTATTGGTACTGTTACTAGTTTTTTCAAGATAAAAACTGTACTAACACTATCTAGAAAATGTCAAGACTCAGTATAAAAAATTTCAGCAAGATCGGTTGAGTAGCTTTCGTGGTTAGCGATTACAACGGTTTTTGCTGCTCTGCCTTATATATTGGTAAGGTATGTTGCAATAAATTTCATCGTCTTATCATTATTTTTGTTTAAAGGATTTAGGACAGTAATTAAAAAAAAATGTTTTTATTTTGAATTGTAGTAGATAAAAAGTCTAAAAAACTTACCAATTGAGAAGCACTAAATGAACCAATCTTTAATGAAAAAGTGATTCGTCGCTTTTTAAAACGCCTTTGATTGGTCGTTTAATTTTGACGTTATTAGTTAGCTTAAAAACTATTACTAAATTTAGAATTCAAAACTGATTTGAAGTTAAAACATAATTTTGACTTCTTAAGTTATATGTTACCGAAATCTACACATTCACATACTATTAATTCCTAAAAACTTAATATCTGAGGAACAAGTTTTTGATAGGCCTGATTTTGTAACTAGAGGGCTTCTCCCGAAAACGAAAAATAAAAATCGTCCGATTCAGTTGTAAAAAAAAGTTTTTGGAAAAGTTTCCAGCTGTGTTTACGTTACAGAATTTGAAGAAAGAAGATTTCTGCACATATATTTGCTTATTACCTTCAAATATGCTTTTAAAATCATTACCTCTGAAATTGTTGATGAATTATTATTCAGTTTTAGATGGCCTTGAGAAAAAATTTCAAATTTTGCCAAAAAATAATCCTCTTGAAGTATTGATTCTAACGATCGCCCTACTATGTTGGAGTATCCGTAAAGTAGCTGCAGAGCTCGGCACCTGTTATTGTATGGTAAAAAAATCTAAAGATCTGAAAGGTTCACTTGGTATCTTTGTTCTTTCACTGATAAAAAGAAGGAAAAGATTCAAGAAAAGATACTATTTCTTAAATACTTGAATTTTGTAAAAGTGACTTATATAGTAGGATAATTTCGAACACAAGAGATACTTTTTCAGTCAGTGTTAATGGTCAAAAATTAAAAGTGCAGAAGCGTTTATTATTGAGTGACATAAAAGCACAGTATACACAATTTACATAAAAATTTAAATAATTACCTATTATGCTGACAAAATTTGTCGAGCTCAGACCAAACTGGTGTGTGACTGCAAAAACATCTGGTACTTACAGTGTAAATGTCTGCGTTCTTCACTAAAATTTACGAATTTGATTGATGTAGCTAAGCTGCAGCACTTAACTAACAATTGCAAAGTTTCGATAAAAAAACTACAATGACTGTATTAATGACGTTTTATATATAAAGCAAACTGCGTTTTGTCAATTACTTGAGTGTGAAAAATTTTCAGATACGGAGAAATTTTCAATTTTACTCGTAGAGTAATTTAAGATATCTTTAGTACGGCAAATTATATTCAGCACACAGACAACTAGTGATCGCTGCACCTTAGAACAAGAATGTCTTGTTTCTGAAGATTTTGTAGAACGAATGAGTAAATATCTACTAAACTTTATCCCTCATAATTTCCTATCAAAAGCTTAGTTAACTTTAGTAAGCAATAGAAAATGGAATTCAAAGGAAGGTGAAGTATTTCTCTCGTAAGACTTGGCTGAAAATTACGCTTACGTTGCACAAGATGCTGTGCAAGCGTCTGACAACAACAATGATCAATGCTCAGTTGTTACTGTTATTTTTTACTATAGTTGCGATACAGAAATGAAGCATAATATAATTTTGCTATCGGATTGCACAACTCATGACACAGCAGCAGTGTATTTAAAATGGTGATAACGGAAATTCAAAAAATCTGTTCCAAAGTTTAAAAAATAATCATTGTAAGTAATGGTGCTGAACAGCACTTGAAGAATAGGTTAAACATGAATAATTTGATGAATAATGAAAACGATTGTAATATAGCGGCCGAATGGCACTTTCATGCCACTGCTCATAGAAAAGGTCCATGTGACGATCTGAGGGCTGTTCTGAAAAGAGAGGCGATACGTTACAGTCTACAAGCCAATCCAGGCAAAGCTGTATTGAATTCAAAATCCCTCTAAGATTGGGCAAAAAAATTTTACATCCACAAGAATATTCCACTACAACAAGGAGCATCACGATAAAACTTTTAAGTTTCTGAAACGAACTTACAAAACAGTGTCCTTCGTACCCAACATCCAAATCAGTCACTCTTTCATTTCCATTACTGGCAAAAAATGATTATCAGAATACTTCGATGCGAGTAAAAAAAAAATTGTCTAATAATAATATAAATTAGAAGTACATAAATGTATTGTAATACAATAAACATTGGGACTTCTTTTTATCTTCTATCAAATATTGTGTGTTATAGTAAGATAAAATCGTTCTAAATGTCTCTTTATTTTAACACTTTTAATTTATGGTAAAAAATCAGGTTACTAATGATTATTTATGTAATCAGTAAAAATAAATAAGCTCGCTTTTTTTGGCTTCAGTACGTTATCGTTTTATGCAATCCATGTCGCCTTGCTCTTCTTATAACTTATTTAAAAAAGCGTTATAACTGGCCTGGCATCGTCCAATCACAATCTGGAACCTATTATGCTACGTAAAGGCATTCGTATGCGCAACTCGTTGCAGGGTAGCTCGATATTCGTTCCACAAGGCAAGAGCATATCTGACCATTACAGCCCTCTGCCTACCTCTAGCTAGCTTGGTCTGAATGTACAAATTCACAAAAATTTTGATACGAGGTAAGATTGAGACCCCCACAATATAATGATAATTTTTTAAAAATTTTTTCGGCGCCGTATAGTGAAAAAGTATTTGACTCCCGGAGGGCCAAAAAATACTTTCCTGACCGTTATTGCAGAGTAATGATGTGCGTGCAAAGTAATTACGAGGGTGAAAAGTTCTGTCTGACAGCGAAAAGTACTGATTGCACTTTATGCTGCAAGAACAAATAACTGTTGCATACTTTTATAAGTTAAAAAATATTTAAATAAGAATTTAAACTAAAGCCCAAAGTTTAGAAAGACTTTTATCATTTGATTATAGCTAAACAATAACCACTGTAGTCGCTGCGATACTTATAGTTTTTTGCAGAATTCTCTGCAAAATTATATTCAAAATGTCGTGTCGTCATAAAATAAAGATTATTTAACAAGTTCTCTTTCAAACAAATTGAAATTATCACTACCTAACATAAACGTAAAATGTTTATTACTATTTCATTAAGAACGTTTTTTTTGTAGGACCCGACATTTGTGGACCAGGAACGAAAAAAGTTCACGTTATTTTTAATTACAAAGGAAAAAACCATTCAATCAAAAAAGATATACGTTGCAAAGATGATGTATTCACACATTTATATACTCTCATCATAAGACCAGATCACACTTATGAGGTAAATATGTTTAATTTCTTTATTATCTTTATTTTTATTTTGGAACTTAGTTGAGACATAGCTTATAAGAACATCAATATTTTTATCCTTATATTTGTAAATTATGGTATCGCCTGAGTTAACTGTAAAGGTTCAAAGTAAGTTTTGCCAAATTACTTCAGCTACTGTGCTAACCCTAACACTATGGTTATTGATGAAAACTTCACCTCTCGCTATTATACTAACGTTATATTTTTCATGACTATTGTTGATTTAAAAACGTTGTTTCTCATCGTCTTCTATTTGGTTATATAGAAGTATAGGGTATGCCATTGAGATGAACCACTGAGAAGGAGGCTGATGAACTTTTATAGCTAGTGAGGCTGTCTAAATCTCTCAAGGTTGTTTTCACTGGCTTGCTGCTGTAGCAGAAAGTGTTATGATTGCTCTAGGTTGGTTGGAAGGACGACCATGAAACCCTAAGGTGTTAAAGCAGGTTGTGCGTTGCCTGGTCGTCTTCTGGTATTACACCGGAAACATTGTCGTTCAGAACGTCTACTTTTTCGTGGCACTCGGTAATCCTGGTGGTTCAAGGTGGAATTCATCGTAAGTCGCTTGTCCATTAGAGAAAAGTGCCATCGGTAGCCGAGGTATCAAACTGCACGACTAACAACTTAGTTCTTAATGTACTGCTGGGAACAAATATGGTAATCAACCATTTTCTTGGAGATATTACCAGATCCTGTTACTTCGATTGCAGATAGCTTCGGCTTTATGTTAACACCACCTAGTGGATCCTTTTGAACTAAAGTGATAAGCTAGTGTATCTGAGTAAAACTTGAAGCTTCTTTATTGCTATTATTATCAATTTTTGCAAGATAAAAACTATACAAAAACTATCGGGGATGTGACAAGAATTAGTATGTAAAATTTCAGCCAAATTGGTTGAATAGTTTTTGCAGTTAGCAGTTACAATGGTTTTTCAGACTTTGTTTTATATATTAGTGAGATAAAAGACCACCCAACCTGAGCTATTGTTGACTTAAATCCACTCTTCATTGAAAAATGTTAAATCTCCTAAATCTTTATTGTACATCAGTAAAATTTGCCTTACGTAAAAGCTTCCCGAGTTGCCCAGTTCCAAGAACCACTGTTGTCCCCATCTTAAGCACAAATGGCCCTGCTGAGCAAGAGCTAGTGCCCTTAGCTTGCAAAAAATGCGATGATGCTTGATGTTCTGAAAATATTCATCATAAAAACTATGAAAATCATTAGAACTAAGGTATCTAGAATGCGCATTTCTATGTATTTTTTTCTTCCGAATCTGATAGTATCAGTTTTTACCATAGCATCAACTAAAAAGTTTAAGTGAAATTTCGTGAAAAAATGCGATAACGCTCCATATACCAACATTAATTAATATGAAAATTCATAAAAATTGTTAATACAGCAGTTTCACAAGTATGGATTCTGTGTATTCTGTATATTTTCTTCTGCTGAATTCTAAATTAGCTTTTAAATATTGGTTAACGAAAAAATGTTATGAACCAAGTATAATAATATTTAATTAAAGGAAAACACAAAAATAACAGTAAATAATGCAAAATAACACTTTTTCATTTGACTTAGGCTAACTATAAAAAATAAAAAATAGGTCTAAAAATTATCCGACTCCTAGTTTTGGAGTAAATACTGCTGTAAATTTAAGGCAAAACTTCTAGTAGAAGTGCCGAAAGTTTACTACCAATACGTATTTACATTTTTAAACACGCCCACAACTAAATTTTTTTAATACAATTTGAAATTTTTCTAAAAAAGGCAGGAGGTGTTCGAATATGTTTTAACAGTGGGCTTCTGACAAATTTAGTTTAATCATTATTAAGGAATTAAAATATGTATCTGAGAAATCGGAAAAAGTTCTGAAAATTTAAACAAATTTATGTTATGCTTCTTTAAAACATGCATTCAAATAAGAATAATCCAGTAAAAATATTAATTTGAATTAAAATAG